AGAGATAAATATATTTATTTTTATTTTTTCTATTAAGATACTTCTTATAGCAGAAAAAGATTTTAAACTTTGAAGGTGTTTTTAGTAAAAAATTTAATCTAGTTTTTACTTTGAGAGTTTAAAAGTAAAAAATTCACAATACTTTTCAAAACAATCGGCTATTACAAAAGTAATAAAAACGAACCTTAATTGATAACGTTTAAATATTATTTATTAAAACTGTTAGGTATTGGTAACCTTAGTTACTAAAAAGTTGAGCAACGTCTTTGCTCAAAATAGATTTTCATCTTAATTTTTTTTCATAATGATTTATTATTAAATTCAAATTTAACACATTCATTACAAAGGCAAAATTACACAATAACATTTTAAAAATATTTAAATTAGTCGGTATTGACTAAGAATTTAATAACATACTCTATGTCTTATTAAATAACGTTTAGCATACAAATACGTATTATATATACAATATGCTATTATAATTTTAATATTTAAGCATCCTCTAAAAAATATACAGCTGCTTTAAAATTTCAACCCTCCTTGTAACTTATTACCTTGTTTGAAATTAAATTTGTATGCATCAAAGTTCTCAGAAATATATTCTGTTCCAGAAAATAAAATTAAAAATATAGATTTATTGTCTTTCAAAAAAGTAAAACCTTTTTAAAAATATATTATAATAAAGCATATAATTTAATTTCAAAATGTGAATTGAAATGACTTAAAATTATGGTTAAAAAAAATGTTGAATGGTTAATACTTTTCAAGATAATAGAAATGTTAATCGTTACAAAAACCACTCTTTTACCTGCAAATAAATTATAATATAAGTGTACAAAATATTATTTCCTACAATTGTTTAAAATTCATTTGTTATGTAAATTGTTTAAAAGTAATTTATTACATATTTACGTTTCATTATATAAAACGTCAGATATTTGATACGTTTGGATTATCTATCGATATTATCTTTTATAAAGCATAGGGTATTAATCGAGATTCTCATTGAAACATCATACTGTTTATTTTTATTACTATAATACAATATATCAATTACTTAGGCACTTAGTAAATATTTGTAAGACCTATACTAACTACAATGTATTAATATTTACTATTTATTTATAGCACTTAATTTCAACTTACAGCTTTTATTTAAGTTATCATAAAATATTTAGTATACTATTACACTTATATATAATCAATAATAATATTATATAATTAATAGGTATCATATTTATTTTTATTTTGGTTACAAGAATTATTTTTTTTCAACAAATGTACATTGACTATTACTCAAATACTTTAATATATGATATATCGTCATGGTAAATTTTATGAAATAAATGTTGTTGTGATTGTTGCAGATTAAACAAAACTGAAAATATACCAACAAAAGTGGACAAAGCGGTTAACAAGAAAAGAAATATAAAAAAACTCTTTTCGGTTGAATGAATAAAACCTAATTTTCCTACCTGATATTTCAGTTTTAATTAATTATTTATATTTTATGTACATTTACAGGTGGACTCTTTTTACATATTAAATATTATGTATTTTTTAATAAATTATTAGTTATTATTTTTAAAATACATTTGTTTTATTTTTCACAAAAATTACTACCTAACTTGGTTTAAAATTTTACATCGTAAAAATGTATAGGTACTCGATGCATTTACTACTAAATACTACCAAATTAATTTTAATGTATTACCATTGATTTTAAATAATTAATATCGATGGTATTACTAATTGCTAATTAATATGAAATATACATAATATTTGTATAAAATCAATGAAATATTTACCTAAAATTAATAAAATATGCATTTTCAATTTTTAACTTTCCAATGTACAGTTCAGATTTCTAGCTTGGTCTGCTATACATTGAGAGAATATAAAACAATATGCAATTCTTACAACTTCCGAGCCCTACAATGATTATCATAGGTGTATCTGATATACATTATACACACATATCGACGCATACCTACTTCTAGATACTAATACAAAAATATATTTTTGGTAGGCTCATGTCAGTAAAACACGATTAAGCATGGTACCTATACCTATATATTTTATGCAACGTTCCAACGTTATCCAGATTTTGTAATTTATTATTTTCATATATCTATTATTATTTATTCACCTATTACAGTCAACTCACGATATAACGAATTTCAAAGGAAAGACCGAGCAAAAAATTCGTTAAATAGAAAGTTTAATCAACAAAATTCATTTTAACAAGATTTAAAAATTTAATTTCATTAAAAACATATATACCTACATGAGTAATTATTCATTTATAAGTATAGATTTTATGTTTATTAAGTACAAAAATATTTATTTTTTTTAAAAATCGGTTATTTTTTTTTTTTTTGTGTGTATAATCACTTGCGCTTACCCGGTCAATAACGTTGTTCAAGTATAAAATGTTACAAAACACACTGTTGTCGATGTCATTTCTCTGTAAATATTTAAAGAGATTGCAGAGACCTGATTTTACTTCTTTCGAGGATAAGGAGGGTTCATCAGAATATATTTTTCTTCATCGTCAGTTTTGTTTAAAATCTTATCGTCATTATGAGAATCACAGTCAACCAACTCATCGTCGATAGCAACAATTGTGTAACTTATACATATAACGACGACATGAATTTTATCTTATTGTATGATAATAGTCCAAACAAACTTGTAAAATTCATTACATTGCAAGAGTTTGGTAGAAAAGCTTCGTTATATCGAGAGGACAAAAATGCATTTAACTTTTCGTTATATCACGAGATTTCCAAAGGAACGGCAGTTTTATACACGTTATATTGAGATTTTCGTTATATTGAACTTCGTTATATCGCGAGTTGACTGTATTAAGATACCAAAATTCACGAGTCATGAGCCAACGCTTTATCGACAATGTTATATTGCATGTTAAAATATAATCAAACATAAAAATTTTCAAACAATATTCAAAAAGTAAAAATACTGTTGAATCCCTACAATTATTTTTAAGTCAAATTAGAAACAGATATAAATTTAATTTATTATTATTATTATAAAATAGGTAAATTAATAAAATGAAAAAACGTTGCATATGACCATAAAATTGTGTTATTTTTTTTAACTTATACCATACCTATATTTTGTATAACCGTAATTATTCAAATATTTTTTGAAAAATATAGTCAACAATTTTAATTGGCAAAATCGCAGTTTTTAAATTCAATCATATGGGTTTTCTTTTTATTTGTATATTCTTTGATAAATTGAAAATTTTACTCAATAATGTCGTAAACAAAGTTTTTTATGCTCGATCGTGTACTAGCAATAAATCTAAACTTAAAAAATAATACAAATAAAAATGTAAAATTTAAATTAAATATTTAAAACCAAAATCATTGTAAGACTTTTACGGTCCTTTAAAAATGTTCAATTTTTATAAATAAAGCTTATAAAAATAATAAAGTAATACAAGGATTTATATTTTTTATATATACTTACATTTTAAAATTCAAATGTTGACAAAATTAGATATTTAAAGGAAAAACAGGATTTTAATTATTTTGTTACAACTCTGACAATTTTCAAACATTAATTTGTATATTTATTCAAGAGTTGGTTAAATTATATTTTGTCTCTGTTAAACAGATCAATTGTTTTAATTAACTAATAAATTCTTATGATAAAAATTATATTTTAAAATTTTAAACTTACATTTAAATCTTAGTAATTTATAGAAAATATTCTTAAAAAAAACCAGATTAATCTCTATCTATTCTTATTTAATCTTAGTGTAATATAAATGTTATTATATACCTAAAAATTTGTAGATAAATTAATAATATATATTTTATGACATTTTTTTAAATAACTGTGAGGTCTGGAAAATAGTAAAAAAAACTACATTATCAGATTTTCGAACAATTAACTTGTAGATTTAATATTGTTATTAATAAAAAATAACTTATAGTCACATCATATATCACAGATAAATTAAGTTGAATTAAAATACAATAAATTACAATACCAAAATCATCCATTTCAATGATTATAGACATAATATTACATCTAAGCTTTATAAAATTTGTTATTTTGCTTTAAATTAATATTCTGAGTATTAAATAAATTGCTATTTATCCGCAGAGCTGATGTATATAGTAAGATATTAGACCTAAATTTTTATTACATACATAATTATGTCACAAATATAATTTACATAACAAACTAAAACTGTTAATAGCATTATTATTAATCATAAAATAAATAATCACACATATTTTCAACAACTTACTGTAATTTTTTTAAGCATTTTTAATCAATACAAAATATATTATAATCCAATAAAATAAAAAATATAAATCATTTGTTTTAGATAATGTTTATTTTATATCACAACAGAATAATATATCAACAAAATAATATGATACATTATGAAATATTAATGCATTATATTGAAATTAAACTTAAATAAAAAGGTAACGTATGAATAAAAGTACTGCCAATTTGTTTAATTTAATTTTGAATAAATATAAGGAATTTATCTCATTATTTTTAACCAGAAATAAAAAGGAATTTATGAGAAAAATATTTGTTAATACTAAACTGTAATAATGATGAATTAAAATTTATAAATATCATGCATACTAACATACATGATATAACAATAGCTGGGAAAATACTCTGAATATAATATTTATATTTTATTATTAAAATAAAAAAAAATATTTTTATTTTTTGTAAAAATAAAAATATAAGTGTTTGTATATTAATGCAAGTAAAAGCACATATTAGAATAGAATACTTGTGTGCTTATTAATAAGCTCATTTTATATATTATCATAATGTAATTATACAAAAATAATTATTAAATGGCACACTCAGGCATTTTTCAAAATATATGTATAATTTTTTTCAAGGCAGTTACTTTTATCATATAGAAATAATTATAAATATAAGATAAACTAAATATTTAAACAAAAACAAAAAAACTTCATAAATTATAATGACTATCACACTTGTTTTTTTTTTATTCTAGAGTATAACATTAACAGTATAAATTTGTGCAATTATATTTGTTGTTTATAATCAGACTTCAAGTGTTAAAGTACATTTTAATCACACCAAATTTTCTGAAAATCATAATTCACAATAATCATTGCAGATTAGTGAACTAGTTATCAGAATAGTTGGAATAAGTTCTATTTATATTTTTTGTATACATTAAGTACATTAATAGTAAAGTTGTTAAAATTATTGCGGTTGGCTGGTTGTACGTGGTAAACTCGATGCAGACAAGCTCTGAATGTCACTTAACAAATTATTACCTGTAAAACAAAACCGTTATATTTTGAAGTTTTGTCGGTGTATCAATGACTGCGTTTCCCCTCCATTACTTTGCCTCACAACTGGTGGTTGCTGTAATTGTCAACTCGATTGGCGGCTGGATGTCTGGGGTTGTCCATTGTTTGCAGTTTTATCATCATCTGATGCAGTTGGTGATATACGAATTGCCTGATACCATTGATTGGTTAAATCTGTCATCTGTGTTTTACAATCTTTCAATTCCTAAAGTAATATTTTTTTTTAGTTTTTTAAAACAATAATATATTTTATAGATTAATTTAACTAAAATCATAAGAAACTTTATAATTAAGTATTTTTTTAAATTTACTTCTTGTGTAAAACGTCTAGTAAAAAATGGTATGAAGTATTTTATGTCCATTTTAGCGAATCCACTGATTCTTGATTGAATAAAATTAACTTCCAATTCTTCTTCAGTTAGTTCTGATAAATGCTCAGAGTCAATTGCTTGCCCCTAACATAAATGTGTATTAATAATTACAAACACATATTAATTAAAAATAATTTATTAATATTTATTTGTATTACCCATTCTTTTGTTTTACTAAGAGATATAGCTTTGTCTTTTCTTCGGCGGTGAGTACTTCTACCAGCTTTTGATGATTGTAAAATCTAGAAAGAAGCATTTAAGTATTGAACTTTTTTCAAAACTAGAAAAATTACCTTCATTAATGGCATTGTTGAACCACCAAACAACAAAGTTGTGACTAATATTATGCATAATGTAGTTGTGATTATCACATGTCTTGTTTCGTTACTGAATTCTAAATGTAATGACAACGCATATGAAATAGCTCCTCTTAATCCTAAAAAAGTAATAATTTAAAATAAATATTACATTAAACAGTTCTCAATAAAAAAAAAATATAAACTAAATCAATAAAAACATAACAATTTTTGATTAATTATATTTTATATTTAATAATTCATTATTTTAGCAATCAGTTGTGCATCCAAACAATTTGTACACTACATATACATAAAAATATATTATACCTAATTACAGTGTAATTTCTTAAAAATTTGCTCAGTCATTATCAGATAATTTAGCAACATAGTGGGAACTTAGATAAAATCTAACTCTTAACAATTCTTATTAAAATATTTCACTTTTTATTAAGGTCAAAAAATCACAAGACTTTAGGTAAATATATTAATATAAAATAATAAAACACTATAATAACATTTGATTTCTAATCAATACTTTCAATAATATACTGATATTTTATAAATGAAATTATTAGAGAAACTGGGTAAGGAACAATATACATTATACACAAATATACTGATGATTGAAAAACAAAAACCCAACTCATATTGTGATATAAAGAGAATTATTTACATATCTGATATTATCTAAGGTTATCTGACATAACCATGCCTAAGTTTAAGAAAGGAAATTAATTTCTAAAACTATCTGCCTTATTTCAATTAAATTGAACTATTATTTAAAGTTTACACAAATAAGAAAAAAAGATATTTCATATTGATGTGAAACATACCACTAAACCACATAATAAACATCATATGTTTTGTAATTTGATGTTCTCTGAATTTATTGCACAAATAAGCCAATGGGAATATATTGCAAGCACGTCCAATTAAACATAGAATTAAACTCCAAATGACTAAAGCTGGTTCAAAGTGTAATCTGAAACTGAATAATGCTAGTCCAAGATAAGCAAATACACACGTTTCTGCTATAAATGCCAATGTTCTCATTGTCTGTTGCATTGTAATTTGGGTGACTGTTGATAAATTGAAATGAGTGTAATGTGACATGACAATTCCATTAAATAGAATAGCCATTATTCCTAAAAAAAAAAAAAAAGAAAAATTATTAAAATAAATAGGTAAAAGACAAACAAAAAATAAAGATATGTGATAGTGAAAAATCAATTAATGATTTACCTGATAAATGAATGCCTTCAGCCAAAACATAAGGTGCATAAGTGAATACTAACATCATGGCAAATTCTAACGAAGGTGTTTTCCTCAAGTCTACATATTTCAATAACAGTGCACTGATTAAGGCAAATATTACTCCAATACCAGCTGAAGCAAAAAACATCAAGCAAAACTGTTTGATGCCTGTCAATACAGCTTCAGAAGTACTCATAGCTGGTCCATTAGACTGTAATACTGATGTAGTCAATACAATGGCAATTGCATCATTTAATATACTTTCTCCAAATACCAACATATTTAACACAGGATCTACATCCAACGCATGGAAAATAGCTACTGTGGCTACAGGGTCAACAGCTGAAATTAATGATCCAAACGCAAAGCTTTCAACAAAACTTAATTTGTAAGCAACTTGAGCTAGACCAAGAACATAAATACCAGCACCAATAACCAAAGCTGATATAGTGGTGCCAATAATAGCAAACACTAGAATAGAACCGATGTTTTGAAAAAAGTTTCCTTTATGTAAATTGTAACCAGATTCAAATATAATTGGAGGTAGAAGGACGAGAAAAAATGCTGTTGGAGAGAATGCTTCTTCATTACGCCAATTTGCAATATGCTGTTCAGACATAAGATTAATAATGAGACCAATAACAGCACCAAGAAACACAATTACTACACTTTCGGGTAAATACTGAAAATGTGTAGACAACATAAGATGAATGAGCAATATGCCTAAAGCAAGAACGCTGAGCACAAAGAATATGGCGATTGAACTGTTGCGTTCTTCTTCAGCTGATCCTTTTTTCGGCAAAACTGGCTCACTGGGTGTGACTACTGTCGATTTTTCGGTCATATTTGTTGTCTCGTTAATCGTGATCGTCGGCATTTCGGAAGTAGTTAATGTACTTGGAACGTTTTTAACTTCGTTGTCAGTTGCAGTAGGTTGGGAAGAATTCTTTGATACTCCTTTGTCGTCGCCATTGATCAATCCCATGCCGCAAAGCACAAGAAATAGAATACACACCGATGCCTTCATTGCGGACCTCCAATATTGCTCTCCCGATATTTAAAAAATATATAATACAGCAAAACGAAGGCGAGATGATCGACAAACAGCGCGCGATCACATATGCAAAACTATTTTGGTGCGTATAAAAATTAAGGCGACGATTTCAACATCGTTCACAGTCATATACAAATCGGTCGACCGTTCATTTACTCCTTTTCGAGCATTGCGTATAATAAATTACGATTTAGTACATTTACGATTAGAATTTTTAAGCGAAAAAAAAAGCGCACAATAAAATGGGTAATAACTAATAATAACAATAGACTGCGATAAAATATGATAATTGTCAATTGATAATGCGTCTGACCGTATAAAAAATAAAAACTATAACCAGGCGTAAATTGCAAAATAAAAATTCAACAGTCCTGAACCTGAATGATGATAAGCGAAACAGAACAAGTGATAAATTTTAAAATCTACGGAGTCGTGGACCAATGAGAACACGGTATTTCGAAGGCGGCAGAACAAGCTCATTTTATTGGCTACCGATTCAAATCGTTGTAAAACGGCTTTTTGTTTGTAATGTTTATTGCTACATATTTAGTATTTGTTATAAATTTATAAATGTTATAATTTGTTATTCGACCTTTTCACGACTCTACATGAACAAGATTTAACTACTCGAGGTCCGAGGACTTATTGTCGTCTTCCACTTATTAGTAATTATTAATCTAACCGATTAGTAATGAGCAAGCCTACAAGTAGTAAGTTGTGACAAGATCAATCTAGAAGTCCAAAACTTCGGAGAAGGAATTGGAAAAAAACACGATTTAGGACAGGTACGGTCTCGCAATTATAAATTATTTTATGAATATTTAAGTATGAAAACATAGACTTATTGATACAGGAATTCATGACTACGGTAGATCGAGATTCGAGACTAACAACTACTTGATGGTTGTTTTTTAATCGATACAATTTGAACGATAAATATTGTTGTTTTTGTCAATTTGAAAATACTAAAATCCTCAATTTTCGTGTTTTATTTTAATTAATTCTTCCAATCCGTAAAATAAATCATTATTAAGTACTAATTTAAAATCTAACACTGTCAGTTAATTGTTGCTCCACCAGCTGCTTACTCATTAGTCATATTACCCGTGATGAATATGGTTTTCTCGTATTTTTTTTTAAATACTTACTAAAAACCTATGTTTATAAACACCGATAATAAAATCATACTCAATAAAACAAATTCAAATTACTAATAACAGTTATTTCACTTTGTATTTATTACAATTTAGTTAAAAATTAATAGATAAATACCTATACATTTCAATGGGATAAATACATATAATGTTTTCTATAAAAATATATTACAGTAGAACATAAAAAAAAATTATTCCAAATAAGCAAAATGAAATTTTATGTTTAATGTTTATTAATTAAAAAATATAAGATTAAAATACCAATATCAAAAATAGGAATGGAATTTGTTGACATGCCTTATTAGTTGTTTATGTTAACCTTAGTTATTTGAATAGATTTCAATATTAAGATCTTCAATTAAGTTTTTTGATCTTTGGGGGAATGAAGCATATTCTCATATTATTTATAGCAATTGGAGAAAAAACAATAGGTATAGTGAATACTGTATATTTCTTAAAACACATTTACTGAAAGTAAGTACATAAATAAAATGACCACTATATAGTAATTAGGTACTTGTTACTGAAACATATAAACATTTTTTTTTAATTAAATGTCTAAAATCTACCAAATAGCTAGTGCACTCGCCACAAATAGTATTAGATGTATTAAATACCCTAAATTATAAAGGCAAATTTCAAAATTTATTTCTGCTGTTTTTTAAACTAATTCTTTCCTATTTACTTTTAATCACTTCAATGCATTTTTTTTATATAATCAACTATTTTAATTTTTTAACTTAATAGTTTAAGGCTGCTTAATTATTATACATAAAATATAATATTTAGTTCATGGATTCTAATAGATTATTTTTATTATTTCAGTTTGTATTTTTGTTAATCTTCAATCATATTATTCTTAATAATGGCTGTGGTTGGAGTCAAACATAAAATTGAATCTCAAGATGAAGTTGTCCAACACATAGAAAAAACAATGAAAGAAATTTATTCTAATCGACCAACAAATCATCAGTGGAAATTAAGCGATTTTGAAATTGGAACACCACTTGGTCGTGGAAAATTTGGTCGTGTATATCTTGCTCGAGAAAAAATTACAAAATATATGGTTGCTTTAAAAATGATGTTTAAATCAGAATTGGTAAAAGATCATATGGAACATCAAGTACGACGAGAAATTGAAATTCAAACACATCTTAATCACCCTAACATTCTAAAAATGCTGACTTATTTTTGGGACGAGAAGAAAATATATTTAATTTTAGAATTTGCCCAAGAAGGTGAGTTATTTAAAGTTCTGAACTCACAGCCACATAAACGTTTTGATGAACCAACTGCTGCATATTATTTACGACAAGTAGCTGATGCTTTAAGGTATTGTCATTCTCAAAGTGTTATCCACAGAGATATAAAACCAGAAAATCTTCTGTTGTTTAGTCATCATGTTATTAAGTTGGCAGATTTTGGATGGTCTGTTCATGCACCATCCAAATGTCGAAACACCATGTGTGGTACTATTGATTATTTACCTCCAGAGATGGTTGACTCTCAAACATATAATGAATATGTTGATAATTGGTGTTTAGGAGTGCTATGTTATGAATTCTTGTGTGGATCACCACCTTTTGAGAGCTCAGAACAGGCAGAGACTTTTAGAAAAATTCGTGCTGTGATGTATAGTTTCAAATCTCATATGAGTGAGGGTTCTAGACATTTAATTTCAAAGCTTTTGGTTAAAGTTCCAAAGTCTAGATTACCACTAACTGATGTTATTGAACATCCCTGGATTAAAAAAAATTGTGAAGTATTTATTAAAACTAAACTAAAATTAAAATAGTTGTTTTTTTTTTTTCCAATATATCATTCTTACAACTATTTTAAAAAGTAATAATGTATAAATAAATATAATTTAAATAACATTTGTTACTATTGTAAGGATTTGGTATACATGTTAATTTTATTGCTATTTTTCATCTAATTGAAAAAAAAAATGTTAACATTTTAACTGTACAGTAGGATCTTAATATTCCTTTTTTTTTTTTTTTTTTTGAGGGATTATCACTTAAGTAGTAAAATTTCATTGAATTGTCCATTAATATTATTGAAATTTCAATAAAAGTTTTATAAATATAAATGCATTTTAATTTTTATTTGATTTTTAAAATGTTTAAATATATAGTTTTCTAAATAACCCTGGCAAATACTATGATCCAAATGTGTCAGATTAACAAAACTTCACTATAGATTTTTATATTATATTCTGTAATAGCCTAGTACAGGGGTCGGCAATTAAATTCTATGGAGGTCCAGAAAATCAAAAAAACATTTTCGAGGGCCAGTAAATACTCAGATATTAGTTAATAATTGTTGTGTTATCGCAACTATATTATTGTAAATAGCAATAAACGATAAACACCATCGTAATCTCTAAATACATCATAAAATAGATAAAATATATGTTATGTGTGAAAACCAGCTTATTAAAAAAAAAAATATTTTTGTGGTCTAATTATTTTTCCTTCATGGGCCGGATTTGACCCGCGGACCACCTATTGCCGACCACTGGCCTAGTATTTAGATGTATTTACAACAATAGCTTAATCATCTGTAATTTAATTTTTGTATTAAATGTATGTACATTTTACATTATTTCATAATATTACATTAATTATCTAGAGTAATTTTAAAGCATTTCAATAATTAGTTATATTACATAGGAGTGTCAATTGCGAAATGCAAGAGTATCTATTTGCATCTTATGGATCATCTTTTAATAGTTTAAAAAAATGCTAGGATAGAAGTAATCGTCTTGAATGAATTTCATTTTTTCCTCAAAATTTTTTTTAAGTATAAGGATTATATTCTTTTTTCTTAAAACTTCCTTAAGTTAAACCAGTTTGAATCTTGAGTGTTTATACAAAAAAAGATTTAAGCAAAATTTAAATTTTTGTAAATAACTCAAAGAGAATCAAAATATTTCTAAGATTATACAATCTGTAGGAAATAACAATTGTTGAACTTGACTTGGTTAATCAAGCCTAAAAGTACAAATTATCCAAAAAAAATTAAAACTTCAATATAAATTATTTATTTATTGTAATATGTATTTACTTAGTTTGATTATTTATTACATTTTTTAATATTATTTTTCATATCAAAATTGAAAAAAAATATATATATTTTTTCTGTTATTAATAATTAAATTTTTGAATTTTTAAGTGGTTCAATGTTAAAGTTGAATAAAGTTCATCATTAACCTCTTGTTGGTTTTCGATAAATTACCTTGATTTATTAAAATGTATCTCATATGTGTTCTTGTGCAAATATAAAAATAAATATTCAGTACATTCTTGTTACAATTGTTTCAAGTGCTTAATTAAAAGGTTAAATCGACTACCAAATTATTTTGTCTGTGCCAATAAAGTCATCAAAATGAAATGTATGCTTTGTCTCAGATTGTCTTAGTTTTTTATTGCAATTGTTTCTTCATCTACTCTTTCACTTATAGAAATGACAGCTTTTCAAGAAAAATTTGTAATGGGGAATAATTAATATGTATATCAGTTTTATAATTTTATAAATAATGTAAATTATTTCATATTTTATAACAAAATATTGAAATATATTACTTAAAATTAAAATTGTAGCTTTTAAATTTATAATATGTACTATAGTTTATGCTTTTCAAAATATTGACAAATGTTAATTATTTCAACATCAAATACCACCTGTTAATTTTTTGTGTGTAGTATGCCTGTATGTGATAATATAATAATAGCCAATAGAAGTAGACAACTAATTAGTAGGTAGGTAATAAAAAAAAAAGTAGTCTATATTTTATTTAGTTAGCTGGTTAAATAAAAGGGCTGTCAATTAAAATTTAAAAATCCTCTAACATAAAAATGCATTTTAATAATAGTATGTGAATTTATAGCTACTCGTATTTAAAATCTTTAAATCATTTGTTTTATACGTATAACTTGAAGAAATACAATAAAAATTTACTAGTTACTAGAATAAACAAATAAGATTTTTTACTGTTTACTATATTATCTATAAGACAATATGAGCTGAATTAATTGCTCCTTAATATTAGATTCTTCTGTAATTCCACAAAAGTTGTTAATAATTTCATTAATTCCATCAAATGATAATACTTTTTATAACCATGAATCTATTAACATCGAATAATGTTGATACATGTAAAATATTTTCATTTTTTAAACATTTATTTCATTCATCATTAATAATTTGTCAAATATTGTACACAAAATTCATATTTTTTATATAATTTTATAGTATCGAAGTTCAATAATTTCATCATTTGATAATTTATTTGGCTTTTTTTTTGTTCAGATAATTATTTTTAAATAATAATTTAACATTCATCAATTAATAAGTTTATTTTTCCATTACTTCAGTAAAATATTTAGCTTGTTCATGAATTTCGTCAAAATGATCACACATATATTATAATCATATTAAATTAATTTAATGTTTTAAAATTTTAAATAATTATAATTTCTATGGAATAGTTGAAATTCTAGAGACGACGACTCCCGATTAACAGAGAATCAGTTAACTATCATCGACCATGCCTCATTCTTCAAGAATATACAAGTCTACTGTCACTATATAAAAACAAAATATAAAACTAAAAATAACATTAAATTACTATATATTCATTCAAATAAAGCATACTAATTTATAACATTTATCAGTAGTACATAAAACAATTATCGCATTTATTTATAAAATGTAATATAGCAATTTTTGATACCTATTTAATAAATATAATAATTATTACCAACAACTAAACAAAATATTTGATCAAACATTTTTTTAATTACAAATATCAGTAGCTAATAACAATTTATAAAAAAAATATTTATTAGTATACCAATTCAAATGAAATTTTAGTCTATAATATGAGACTTTAAATAAAAGTATTTTAAAAGCTCGGCAGTCTTTGCTTTTCATTAAAAAAATAATTGAATTGATACACAATTATTTCCTAGGAACTAATTGTTTGTTTTTACCTAAGCAAATAAATGTTGATCAGGTAAAATTCATAATTTACTGAAATAACAATTCTATTTTGTATGTTCCCCCTCATTTTTAATAATTTTCAAAAATAATTAATGGATTAATAAGGTAAAACTTGTTTTTAAACAGCTATTTTACTAAATGAGACAAAAAGCCAGTATTCATGATCGTTGGGAATTAATTATTATCTAATATTTTTACTAATAATAAAAAGTAATTTCAAACTTTAACAAACAATAAAATATTGGCTTAAGTCTCATAATATTCAAAATGATAAGGATTAAAAATAAAATGATTGCAATCAATTATTTTTTTTTTTTTTACACAAATTTCAGTCTTGTTCAGATAACTCACAACATAAATTTGTATAATAATGTGACAATAATAATAATAAAAAAATAATAATAATAATAACTATAAACAAACAACAGTTCATTATGAGGAAACAACAATTAGCTAAAATCAATACTTTTACAATAATAAAGTTGGTATTTTCATAACATTGAATTCTACTACTAGGTAATACTAATTAACTACTAGTTGCGATATTTTCCCTTCTGTCCCATTCAAAGTGATTAAAGACATAGATTCATTTCTACGATTTTGTACACAATAATGACTAATTATTCACGCAAGTGTTCATGTGTCTTCGATACATTGTGAGCTATGGGCGAGTCTGGTAAAATAATTTCTAAAATATTCACTATACCAAAAATTTATGGCACTGATTTAGTGATATTGTTGTATAAACGTTTGATCCAATATGTGTCTAAATCAAATGCTTGAAAACCTAAAAAAAAATCTGATAAAATCTACAATTTTAATTTTAAATAAGTTTTAATACCATTTAGAACTTCTGCAGTGTTTTCAGGTTTGAAATAAATTATTTTTTGTGAACCTAATAAAATGATAAAAAAAAAATATCACTTAATACAAATTTTATTTAATTAAAACCATCAGTAAATTAACATACTTTTGGATGATTCTTCATCTTCTATAACCGAGTGCCAAGCTGAAATTTAAAATTCTAGGGTTAAAATAGTAAATAAAGGAAAATACAAATAATATAAAGTGAAAGAATTAAATTATTTGATTATTTTTTAAATAAAATACATATATTTATCTAATATTTTATATCTTGAATATTATTAAGGGTTTTAATGGTTTTTTTTGTTTTATTTAGTCTTTGATTACAAACACAATATGTTATGTTAGGACCTGGCCATTGGATCAATAAAATTATATTAAACGTCACAAGTTTATCGATGATCGATGTGTTAAGAACCAATAAAAATGGGTAGTGTGCCAACCTTTTATATAGAAAACAATGTCTTATAAAATTATTTATTATCGTAATATACAAAATATGCAATTAACCAATGAATAAATATCAAGAAATAACACATTTCACTAAGAAATAATTTTAGTTTATAAATATTTCTAGGTATGTAATTACAATACTCAAATACAAAAATACAATATTATTTAATGTAGTTTGGTCAATAACCTACTGAAGAATAGGAAATTTTCCATTTGGCAAAAGACCTTGCTTTAGAGGTAAGCACAACCTAGGTACATGCGTCATGATAGTCTAGAAGCAATCATGTTTTTTTAAATAAAATTCAAGAAATTAGCTAATACACGTTAGGATGAAACTTATGATTGGAATGTCTTACTGATACATTTAAATAATCTAACTCTAAAATTAACTAGTGCAACCCACTGGGAAACCAAATTAAATGTAATACAAGCTATAAGATTTCAAGTTACTAAATATATTCAATTATTAAAAACCTCTCCAAATAATACATTTATAAGTTCTACTAGAATCAAAGTCGTACCAAAACAATAAGTATCATCAATAAGTTTTTAAAATTTTGTATTGCTTAATGTTAATCATATTTTTTTATTTAAAATTAATATTAGCAGCAAAGCGTAACAATCAAAGTCGTTAGGTTTTTTTTAAATAGTAAAATAGTTACAGTTCAACTTAACTTTAGTTAATTAATAATTAGATATCTAAACATCATTCTAAGATAGGGCTCAATAATTATTGTACATTTATTAAATATCATAAAAGGTAAATAGGGTTTTAACAAAAGTATTAAATATAAAATAGAAATTTAAGTTTAAATTTTTAAACATGAATTTATTTTAAATGATAATTTACTTATCAAGTTATAAACATTATTTGAAATATATAAAATACTTACAGTCATTGATATAATGTATAAGTTTTTCGTGTTGGGGACTTAAAACATCTTGAGGTGATGGAGGACACTTCTTTAAAGCCTTACGATGGCCATTAGAATGAAATACCGGCTTTGGTTCAGGACTTTAGGACATAATCAACAATTACATGTACAATCAACACATTTATATAATATTATGGTTTAAAATTTCTAAATAATAAATCAAGTGATAGATACATACGATGGTAGTTCTTCTTCTTCTTCTGTTCCATTGACTTTTTTTAAATTTTCTCTAAAAGAATCGAGTCGATCAAAACTGTGGCGAATGCCTGGAAAAAAATGTAAGCAAAAAATATTTTTAAATATCTAATTCATGTCTTGCGTTATAAATAGGTAACCTTCTAGGTCTTTTAAATAAAAAAATTAACGCACCTCTTCTAGTTTTCGCTGTCATGTATTTGCTAGGTGTTTTTACAGCATACATTTCGTCGTGTATGAATCGAACGTGTTACAAGTATTATCGATGAAATTTAAATAATAATTAAAGTTTAAAGTAACGAAAAAGAAATAAAAATAAAAATAAATTATTTGAATAACGAATTAAATGAAGTGTTTAAGAGTTAGGAACATGAAGTACGAAGTGTACGAACTACGAACACCCCCATTATAGATAGTCGGTGTCTCAATGAGAAAATTTTACATATTAACTAAGAAACGACATCTGATTAAAACATAAACGTTTATTATATTGAAGTTAGTAACAAATTATTTTATCATATGATTACGATTTAAAGAAGATAAGATGTTACCGCTTGTATACTCGTAAAACGTTACGTCATGACTATATAAATAAAATAGTAAATACCTATAGAAATAGAATATAGATCTATTTAGTCATGGTAAGTTGTTTAACTATTAAGAATACTTCAGCAGCAATTTTTATTTAGTAAACGTTTTTGCTGTTTGTTAGCTCTTACATAATACATAATACATTAATAATGAAAGTTGTAATTTAACTTATTTGCAACAAACCTCCAGAGATATAACCTATTTTAAAATATAATTTTTATACTTTTATTACCTGCCTATTTAATTGTAATATTTTTACATGGTAACAAAAATTACATATTTTTATAGCATTAATTTAAAATGTAAAAAAATTAAATCCTTTATACTTAAATTATTATTTTGATTGAATAATAATATTATTAATTTTTATATTAAAATGAAATTAATTTTATAAAATGAACGAATCAGAAAATATGTAATTATTTCGGGAATGAAAATTTTATTTTATGTATTAGATCAATAATTAATGTAATTTTCGTTTCACCAATGCTAATTTTGAAAACTTTACTATGATTATTGGAAATTAATTATTTTATTATAAAATAAAATAGGTACACAAAACCATAATTTGGTATTTACTATTTAATATACCTACTAACAAAATATTCATCTAATCTAATCTAACCTTGCTTGAATAAGTATTTTATTCTTATTTTTTAAGTTAATTTATAATAAAGATAGTTGTAAACATTTGGGCCCCCTTGGCCCATAAGATGCGTAAGAATATAACTGTAATGTAAAACTTATAATCACGATTCGAGAAAAATTCAGGTTTGGGTCCCCCTTCCCAAAACAAAATCCTAGGCCTGCCACTGGTTGTAAGTTTTGAAGTCTGTGACTAGAAGATTATTATGAAAAAACTGTTTTAAAGCTAAAATTTAAAGGTGAGTAAGTACCAGCTAGTAGGTACTGAGAAAATAGTATTGAATATTTAAGTATTATGTATTTATATTTATTTACACTTTGTTTGTATGTACGGGTTCTATCACAACAAACACATGTTTTTCAAAATGATGCTACTTTAGAGGTGATTGCAGTAAAGAAAATTTTATTTCATCAAAAAATGCAAAAACGTATGCAGGGGTTCGTAGCTTATGTTGATAGATTTTTGATTTTAAGTGACCCACAAGAAAAAATCACATGTTCTTAGGCCAGACCGCCAGGAGAACAAGAGACCACGGAATTTCCCCAAAAGCGCGAAATAAAACGTCCAGAGAATTTTTTGCGAAGAACTTCCATTGAGGTACAAGCTGTGTTTAATGTTGACCCAACTTGTAGAAATCACACTTTCCTAACAGACATGTCGACGTTGCAGTTCAGGAAAAAAATGGGTCAGGATTTTGGTGTAACACTTTGAATTCACAGTGGTCGTTTTGCCCGTTGTTCCCGAAAATATAAGGACCATTAATTTGTCTGAAATTATTTTCAGAACCTAAATTTTTTTACTATAAAAAAACTGCATACATTTCTATGCATTTGTGCTGACAAACTCTGTATAATATGTATTTATAATTTTTTTTTTTTTTTGTAATTTTGAAATTTATAACAATTAACAACTAAAATAATGTTAGATAAAATCATATTTTAATATATGTGGGTGTTTGCGGCGGAGCATGGCTCGACAAGCGCATACACAAAAAAAAATTGTGGGGGAGGGGTGTATATTTTCGTACATTATATATACATAACTCATATTACGATGACAATGCGGGCAATTAAATAAAACTAAACTAATAAATAGTAAAACTATTATTTCCTGAAAATTCGAGGGGGTTTGAACCCCTAGAGCCCCCTTTGTATACGCGCCTGTAGTTCGATTTGGTTGGTGCCAACCACTTTCTCTCAGCGAAAAAAATTGTGATACACTAAGATATTAAATGCTATAAAATCTTCTAGAATTATTGACAACATAGAACACTACAGTAATGTACCCATTTTGCCTATACTATACGCCGAATAAAACTGTGTTAGCATGAAGTATATATAAAACCATTTTAAATTATTAACATTTATATTTTAATTTTATCTATACCATACGGCATGCACCACATTTTTATTAGTATTTAAAACAATTAATAACATATTCTATAAATTTAATACATATATTACTATAATTTTAATTATAATAATAAACATAAATATAAACTGTTTATTATCAAAACTTAGTGTTAAATTTTATAGAACAATAAGCACTAAGAAGTCTAGAATAAAGATTCTAACTAACTTTCTAAAATTGTACTATTTTATATTTTTATGACATTTTCAGAAGTGGATAATGATTAAACAATTACTGTTACATCAGTAACTTATTTAACTTGTATAACATATAATAGGAATTATTCATATTCTGTTTTTAAGTTTTTTGAAAAACAGAAATATATTTAAACATGAATCATTATAAACTGTACGCCAAATAAAATAAAGCATTTATATAAAATTGTGTATATAATTAAATTAGAAAGTTTGTCAATTATTACTGTATCAACACTATGACTAAGGGGTACCAATGAAAAAATATGAAAATAAATTTAAGAATAATATTTAAATAAAACAAATTGTTGAAATTAATATGACTATTGCTATGATTTAGTTATTATTAAAAAATAAATTCAATAAATGGATATATATATATATATATTTTTATTTGAATATATGTGAAAAATCTTAACAATCCAAAACAAGGTTTTTTATAAGTTATTCTTACACCAACTTAAAAACATCAAAAATACATTTGTACAATTATTTTTATACTTTTTTATAACAAATTCAAATTTTAATAAAATTGTATATTTTCAAGAAAAGTAACAATTTAAGTTACATGTTTAATTGAAGATTATTCAAAAAATATTATTTAAGAATATAATTTTACTTATTATTATTTAATACATATTATAGAGAAATTTATAAATGTTGGCATAGATTAATTTTGAGCTGTTTATCTCACAAACCAGCTATTCACATCAATCTATGGCATTAACTTATAAGTTAATAACAGACAAATTATTATTAATATCAATATATTGTAATATAACTACCATAATATAATATACATTAATGAATAATAATTGTGAATGTGACTTGTGTTGTAGTAAATGTCGAGTATGCCTTTTCAATTGTCATTGAGTTAATTACTATTATGAATGTGTTAAATTTGAATTTGATACAAACTATGAAAATGATTTCTACTGAAGATGGTTTAAATTTTTAGTAATCAAGGTTACCAAAAACATATTTAATTATAGTACTGAAATTTTAACATAAATATGTATTCCTTTTTCCAATTATGATTGTGTCATTTGTTAAAATATATTTTATACATTTTTACACATTTCTTCATTAAGATTGCTCTTTTCAGTTTTTGAACAATTTAAGTTTTACTTGTTGTATAGAAGTAAAAAAAACACTGTTTATTTTACCTTTTTTAACATGTATAATTTTAAAAACAATGTGATTGTCACTAAAATATTGTTAACTTAACATTTTTTTATTGTTGATATTGTTCTAAAACTGCTAGAATGAGTTATCACTTTTTTCTACATGGATTATTTTTAATTAGTAGTATGACATATTAAGATAAGCATGGTTTAAGATATTATTTTAAATTACGATGGTAACTATTAACCAATAGTAAGCCTATCAAAACTAGAAATCTAAGGTATCTCTACTCTTTAGTCTTTGTGTATAAAGTATAAATTTTAGACTAGTCTTTGCTAATATTTACTATTTAGTTATTCATAACAGTTTAATAACTTAAATTTATCATATCAAGTATAACTAATTACACGAAGACCATATTTTGGTGTTGTGAAAACTCAAATATTGTATTCTAAATATTTACTTCCAGTTAATAGTTATTCATTATCTATCATCCACTATTCAAAACTTATGTATTATAAAATGTGATTCAATAAATACTAATATAATATCATCATTCTCATTCATTTTGTATAAGACTGAAGACTATATATACATAAATATATTAATCAATTAATGAATACATAATGCATTAATATAAAATATGCTATTTATGTTTATAATCAATAAAAACTAAAATATTAAATTTATAAGGTCACAAGGACTTAAAAAATCAAAAAAAAAAAAAAACCTTCCAATAGAAAAGTGACAATGAATGCGACTTTAATCAAAACATTTATTAATAATTTAAATAAATTATTAACATGCATGGCAGCCAATAGGATTTATTATAAACAAAAACCATAATATAAGATTATTCATTCATTTTTTATATTATTTATGGTTCAATTTAATTATAATGATAAATATTACTTTGCATTCCACACAATTATAACATTTTATAAACTTAGATTTGAAAACAATTATTTTGTAATTTTTACTGTTGATTAATGGATTAACATCTAATGTAATAATGTCATTGAATTCTCTAAATAAGAATTCATGGCATATTACAATAAAAATATGGAGTATAATATTACAAACAAAAAAATTGATATTTTTATACTCAAGAGTTAAGATAGTTTGAACTATCCTCAAGTACAAATTTTAATTAATTCAATGTTCTCAAAAATTAAACATTTAAAACAAAAGACCCAAAGTATTTGTACATATTTATACAATCACGGTGGCACAGTGAACACGATAAAATAATTATATTATTTATAGCATATTTATTAAATTAATATTTAAATTATAATTAGTTCCAAAATAAATTAATAACCCCATATCAATAGTGTATATGGTGCAACACAATACTTAATATACTATAAGTATAATATAAAATGACTTATACATTTTAAACAAATAAAACGTTTAAACTAAAAAGTGCTTACAAGTGGTACATGGGTAACTAGTAAATGTTTAAAAATAAAATAAAATCAACAACAAATACATCTTTAAATAAATAACAATTGGAATTCATAGGTATATAAAGATAAAAGAGGTTATTTTTAATAAAGAAAATGTAAATATTTCAACAAATAACAACATACAACCAAATAAGAATTTTAAAATATTTTAGCTCAATAATAACTGTTGCTTACAAAGCTTAAAGAAAAAATTATTCATAGCATAGAAACTAAACTTATTATTTATTATAATTTTATGACAATGATAATAATTTAAAAAAATTAACCTATTGGAATAATTCATGCAATGTTAAAACAATATTGTCAAACTGATCACTTATATTAAATAGTGGAATAAGATTGTATACATGATTGTAGTTAAAAATTAAAAAAAAAAAGTAATTGCATATCATAAATAAATTAACATCATTCCTAATATTTTGATTTACAGAAGAAATTGAAAAAAACAAATACAGTTTCAATTTTTTCTGGATATTGTATTTATACATTCCAATTGAAATATATTAGCTGATAAAATATGTTTAGTAATCCACGAAGAACAATATTATTGAATGAATATCTATATAATCTTTAAAATATGTGATTATTTTAAAAATAATGATTGAACAATTGATTTGGATAACGGACTACAAAATATTATGGTTTCTCTTAATTTAGAATAAACGCAATAATATGGATTAATACCTTAACAAATTTATGATTAATATTCAATTACTGACTAGGAAATTAAATATTTACAAAGCAAACATTGTATCGCCTTGTTTTTCTTTGTTACGTCTTGATTCATTTCCATTGCTTCCTGTGGGTAAATTTTCAGCAGCTGCTGCTCTTTCAGCAAGGAATCTCTCAAATTCACTGCTTGATAAAGATTCTTCAACTTCATTTCCAATTTTTGTAGAACTTCCTGGCTAAAAATTTTTAGAGAAAAAAGTAGTCATTAAAAGAAATAATAAATGATATTAAATACATACATTGATATTAGATGAGAAAATTATTAGTTTTTTTTTTCATTAAATTGATAACCCATTGGACTAATATAAAAATAATTTTAATATCTTTAAGAAACAAAAGTACAGGACAGTTATATTTAAGGCAAAATCAAACAATTAAAAAAGAATTATAATATATATTTATGAAAAATATTAAACACAAATTATACTTAAATAAATAAACTCAAGAATTCACTCTATTTCAGTAAATTAAAATTAAAATTATTAAGTACAAATAACTGCACAATAAGAAATTATGATCAATACTTTATCAAATAAAATTTGCATTTTTCAAATTACCAAACATTATATTATAAAATGTATTTAAAAATGTAATACTAATATATATTTTTTATTATATACACATTAACTTACATTTTCGCTGAGCCAAGCTGCTATTTCATCAAAATCCTGTTCACTATGCATCTGAAATATTAAAAACATATTTTTATAATAAAATAAACATACCTAATATTTATGAAATTAATTGTTAGAAATAATTAACTAGGTATAATATTTTACAAATAATAAACAGTTAAAAAAAAAGCTTTATTTAATTGTTGTATAAAGTTGTTTAAAAAATATAAATATAAATAAAATCGAAAAAATGTATGTAATATTTTTTTTTTAATGGATATATACAATATGAAACAATAAAGTGTATTAACTATAAATTATTTATAATTGATTGTTAATTAGTAGATGCACAAATTATTTAATTAGAAGCATAATTTTTAGACGAGTGCTCAAATTTTTTTTTTAGAAAACATAATTATTATATATAGTTTTTATTTATAAGAGTATAATTAATTTCATAAACTATATTAAAATAATAAAAAATTTTGGGGAAAATTTTTTATTTGATAACAACTTTAATTATCATTGATCAAATTTATATATTATTGTTGCATTCATAATATTTGGTGTTTGTTAATTAGAACTGAAAAATACAAATTGAACTAAAAATTGATAAAAAATTATCAACATGCATTTAATTAATATTATAAGTATAGATACAAAAACATATGATGCATAACCTTAAAATAATAATAAATAATTGTTTTAATTTTTGCATTACATGTAAATTGAGATAGTCAGACAAAATTACTTATATATGTCAAGCATGTAATGTTAAAAATTATTATCAGGATTTAATTTCATGTTATAAACAATATACTCTTACCCTGATGACATCTTCATGAGCACAATCCTAAGGTCAGAACCCACACAAGTATTACAAACATAATAATAATTGCTTTATACAAACGTGATTTAAATTATAAAGAATATACAATCTATTAATTGTATATTAAAAAAATATAAAATGGATTATATTAATATGATACAAAGAAATTTCAGATAAATACTTACATCTTTTGTTGTCACGTTTTGTGATCGAGCTTGAGTCAAAGAAGCTAAACTGTTGACTTGATCTGGCTTTAAATTGGCATCATAACTACTTCCTCTAAATATTTTTTAATATTACTTTAATTTCTATACCCAGAAATAAAATATTAGCATTATCTTGAAATATTGTTATTACCCAACTTTTGTGTTTTCATATGATACTGATCGAGATTGAGCAAACATATCAAAGTCATCTGTATGAATACTAGTCAGCAAATCTGCAGGCGGCTTTTGTTTAGGCTTTTCATTATCAATACCTAAGATTAGTTAATAAGAATAAAAATAATTTAAAGTCAATACAAATTAATAATTTATATTTTATATTAAGGAAATAACAAAAAAGTTAACTTGTTGCGCAGGAGCATGCGCAAACTCCAAAAGTAGGTAGTGCCCATATATATAATACTATTAGACTTTTTTTAAGTTTAATGTGCTTATAATATATATATTATATAATGATACAAGTTGCACACTACCGTACATCATTTCTGATAGAGTAGTCTTGGTGGGTTAACAATAAAATTAAAATATAATCAAAAAGGAAAAATAAATGAAAAATTATATAATCAATAATAGATGATCACAAGTTTTACTTTGTAAATTGAACAATTGGTTTCTCAATACACAATTACAATTAACTCATAATAATTTTTAATATATGATACTAGTCACTACACGTCTTCACGTTAAACTACATACAGACTTTCAATAATAAAGTGTACCACAGTAAATTATCATGTTTTCATTTTTACTATAAAACTATAATCTAAAATTGATTTTGGTAAACAAGGGATATTAATTACAATTATTATTAATACATGAGAAATTTGATTGAGACATTAGGCACTTCAGCCCATGAAATTCACAGGACATGCCTGGGCACATCGTCCACGCCTATGTTGTGGCGTTATTATTAGAAGTTAAAAAAAATAACTATCAGAGTAATAAAATATGTAACACTTAAATATTCAATCCATTAAACTTTTTTTAACAAAATTCCACCCAATTAGTCTCGTTAGTTATAGCAACATTGCCTATTATAATGTTATAGAATCTATGCCTTTATTTGTTGCCACTGAATTAAAGACACTTTTATTATGTAACTGACTATAGAAAAATGATGAATATATTAGAATAAAATATTAGTAATAACTAATATAAGGATTTAATCTTTATGGACTTATGGTGATTTATTAAAAATTGGTATAATTACTTAATTTTGAAAATTGATTTGAAGTTGTGGCAATTGGCTCATCAATAAAACCTTGAAGCAAATCAGTTGTTTTTATAGAAGGACCATCTACAGAAGTAGTATTACATCTTGCTTCTCTATTCTTTTCATATCTGCTATATCTGTTTTAAAAAACATAAACTTATAAATATATGTTATGATTTTTGAAATATTGAGTTATGTTAAAGCTAACCTTAGAAAAAGATTATTTAAATCATCATTGACTAATAATAGCTGTTCAGTAAGTTCACCATCTGATAATTTAGCCAGGAGTTCAACAATTCTTTCTTGCATTGCTTTACATGTGGTATACAAGTCCTAAAAATATAGTATTTTTATAAAATTTTATTTTTGTTTTATAATCATATTAAAAATTAAGTAAATAAACATTTAATATATATAAACAATTAATTATTTTTATTGATAATACTATTATTTAAAATAATACATATTATCAAGAATATGATACACCAGCTTAAGTTTTTCAGTCTAACAAACATTCAACACAATAAAATATAATTAAGTAGCTCCAATTTTATATCGTTGAATATTATATTTTGAGAAATTTGACCAATTATCAAACATAAAGGCAAGAACATATGTTCTGTTTTTGATTTTTTTTTCATGACATTTTAACATTTAAGGGAATTCCAAGTAAATAAAATATTTCAAAAACCAGCGTCACAAAAACATAGATAATGAAACATTTCACTCTAGTACTAAGAGACAACAACACAAAACTAAAACTGCTGAATGCAAATATGCTGTTTTCAAGATGGAGACCACATGTTCAAGTTGTGACATCCTCTTAATACAAATATTTTTAATGATTGTATGTATGTTAATTGTTAAGCTACTTACAGTTAAAAGTTGAACATCTGATTCCTCTTCTTTTCCTGGTACTAATTCTGAGAGCATTTCATTTAACACTGTCATATTTCCACGAACTAACTCCAAATCAGAATTCAGTTTATGAAGTTGATCAGGTCTGTTTGAACGACTATTAGTTTGATCACTAGAATGTGAACCAACTACTGGTTTAGGCTCTTCAGAAAAACTCTATAAAAAAGTATAATAAAAATAATAAACATTTAATTTTTATCTGTGCAAGACTTACTTTATGTGGTGTATGTATTGGGGCCATAGTATCAAGATTTGTCATAGGAAATTCAATTCCTTTTTGACGAAGTTCTCTATATACATGGTAAACTCCTTGTAAATCAGTTTGATTACGAAATGCATCTGCCCAACTTTGAATAAGACTTAAAACTTTTTCTTGAACAATGGTTGGTGGATCATTTTTTGGACCTAAATTAGACCACATGTTATGAAAATAAATAATTTACAAAAACAGTATTTAAATTGTTTACTTACCAATTAGTTTAATTAAATCTTGAGAAAATTCTTTGTTGCAAACTAAAATGTGGAATCGTTTACCACAATTTTTTACACATGTTTCCAAAACCTATAATTAATGAAATAATGTAAATAATCATAATCTTTTATTAATTACAATACTTACTGTTAAGGTATACATAATTATTTTATGATTTTTGCCTGCATTTTGAAGCAATCTTTTACGAATTGCTTTAACTGCATCTTTAGGGCCTTCTTCTGTATCATTAATCATATCACAAATTTCCATATTAAGCGACCAGTTTTCAGAAGCCAAGCCCCCATCAGTTGCTAATTCTATTGATAAACATTCAATATAATATTATAATTTATAATAAGTAGTTTAATGATATTCATACAAAATGTATAGATTATTTTAAAATAAAATGTTATAAAAAAAAGATTATAAAAATTATGTTTTTCTTGATTTTTTTGTCCTAAAAGAAGTAGGTATAATATATATAAAAAGGTTTAAACAATATCAACAGTCAATTAAGACAAAGTTATACCCGTATCTATTGTCTTTGTCTTATTAAATGCATAACATGGCAATTTTAACATTCAGAAAAATTGATGTTACTTAGTTAATTTAAATGTTAGAATAAATTTGCTTATTATCAAACTTTAAATAAAAATATAATCTGACAAACCTGATAAATTATTTTGTTCTTAAATACTTTATTTTTTAATCTAGTAATGGGTATTTTAAAAATTTTTTAAATTAAGCATTAATAAAATAGAGACAATATATGAGGGTAAAACGTTTTTTTAAAGAAAATCCCTATTTTACGGACTATTTATGGTAATGAGTAAAAATGATCAAAAGATAACATCAGATAAAAAATTAAATAGTAAATAACAATTATGTTTTAACTTTAAAAGTTAACAAGGAAAAAAATAATAGTTAATTTCAACATTAAGTATACCAAATTTCAATTTTTAAATGTTATTGCCAATAGCAGCAAATTAAATCAAGATTATTGTAGTATTACGATAGTAATTTTCATAATTTTTGATATTCTAATTTGATAGTTAACTATAAAATGATATAGCTATGTAATATTTAAGTAAATATACATTTGGTATTTTATCCCTAGATTTGTTATTAATTAGTAATTACACATACTAAAATGAGTGTATAAATAAACTAATCAGCTATTGTTATTATTTAGGTAAGTTGCATATTAGTAACATTTATATTTCTTCATATTAACAACAATGTGCAAGTTAAGTAAAAATTTAAAAACATAAGAACCACAGATGATTTATATTGTTGCTGTTCTCAATGCAATAAGAGAAGGATATGAATATAAAATTGTTAATATTTATTTTTATTTTGCTAAACCATTAATAATATGCAAATACTCCCAAAATATTCAAAATACAATTATATTAATAATATTCTACACACTCATAATTAGTTATAATGTACTTTTAAATATTATTTTGAAAAGATCTCAAAGATGGCACTATAAGCCACTAAAAACTTTAAGTATACATTTAATGTAGGTGTAACGGTGAAAATTGTCTTTAAAATAAAGTTATTTGAAAAGATCAATATGGTTAAAGCACTGTGAATTAAAACAGAAACTCACCAATTTTTTCACCCACAGGAGTTGAAAAAGGATTCAACGATACACCAAATATTGTAGCCATTCTTTTTTTATATTACGTATACTTTTAGCAAAGTAAATAACATAAAAAACAATAACAAGTATTTTAATGCAACTAATGCTCAATAAATCCAATTTATAATAATTCAGATTATAGTTGATAGTCAATAGCCAATAGATATGGTACTATGGTGTAGACTATAAGTATAGAATATAGATAAACATTAACAAATGTTGTTCAACAAAAACAAAATGTTACGTAATTAGAATTGGTTCTCAAAATATATGTTATTTTCATTTAATAATAAGTGACAACAGCAATGTTCCTAACATCAGTACTTAAACCGGTGAATCAACGGCGTCAACGACAAGAACGTTACTCGTTAGTAACTTCAAATCTAATGACGTTCTCAGATTCGGCATTTTGACAAATGGCAATCTGTAATATTTCTGTTTGTTATTGACTGTAATTCATAATTTTATGCGTGTGTCATTTTTTACACTTAAATCTGAATAAATATTTGATATATAATGTATTGATAAATAATGATTTTTGTTTAATGTTAAGCAGTATAACAATTGGGTTCAAACTACTCGTTTTACATGTAAGTAGTAATATTTTTGTTTCAATTATTTAATTTTAAAGTTTAAGGTTGTTTTGTTGTTGTTAGTTGTCAACATTACGTGTTAAATTTTAAACGCTAAAAAAAAAAAAAAAAGATCTTCAAAATGGCACATTATAAAGGAGCAGCTAGTGAAGCTGGCCGCGCTATGCAATTGATGAAGAAACGGGAGCTTGCTCAAGCTGAAATTGAGTTGCGTAAGAAAAAAATTGAAGAAGAAATGAAACTGTCTAATATTGAAAATAAATTTGCCAAACATTATGACTCGTTGGAGGCTCAACTCAAGAGCTCAACTATTGGTTTGGTGACTCTTGATGAAATGAAAGCTAAACAAGAGACAGTTGTCCAAGAAAGAGCTAAAAGATTAGTACAAAAAGAAAAAGAAGTGGAATTTGAAAGGCAAAGACAATTGGAGGCAAAATTAGAGGAAAAAAGAAGACAGCAACGTAAGATTAAAGCATTGTCATTTATTGAAGATATGCCTGAAGAAAGTGAAATAGAAGAGAATGTAGAAGAGGCTGAAGAAGAATCTACTTTTCAACCTTTACCTAAAAAAATTAAAAAAAACCCTGATGTTGATACTAGTTTTTTACCAGATCGTGATAGAGAATCTGAAGAAAATTGTTTACGAGAAGCATTAAGACAAGAATGGACTGATAAACAAAAATGCTTAAAAGAAGAAGAAATTAGTATTACGTTTAGTTACTGGGATGGATCAGGACATAGACGTACAATTGTTATGAAAAAAGGTAATACAATTTATCAATTTTTACAAAAAGCGCTTGAACAGTTACGTCGGGAATTTGGAGAGCTTAAAACTATAATGGCTGACCAATTAATGTACGTTAAAGAAGATCTGATATTACCACACCATTATTCGTTTTATGATTTTATTGTTGCTAAGGCAAGAGGTAAAAGTGGTCCTCTATTCACTTTTGGTGTACATGATGATATTCGAATGGTTAGTGATGCTAGTTTAGAGAAAGAAGACTCACATGCTGGCAAAGTATTGTTAAGAAATTGGTATGAAAGGAACAAACATATTTTTCCTGCAAGTCGATGGGAACCATTTGACCCTTTAAAAACATTTGCCAAATATACAATTAAAGACAAGACACAAAAACATGAAGCAACACAAAAAAATTAAAAATTGAATTAAAATAAATTGTAATATAAAATATGTAAATACAAAAATTAACCAGTTTTATCAAATGGCTTCTTTGTTTTGATGTTTCAGGTATTAAAATCCAAATAAAATACAAACACAAGATTTTTGCAACTAGAAAATTTGGTCTCAGGTTTGTAAAAATGATTTTGCCCCACTTATTTTTAGTGGTGATTACTATTTCTGCTACTTTTTCAATTGAAGTGAATCCTAAAATATTTATAAATAATGCTGAATGCTTAGTAGATTTAAGCACCCAATTAGTTAAAGGAGAATGTCGTCTATCTTTAGAAAATAATGATGACAAACCAGTAAACTCTGTTTTGTATGCATTTGAACCTTCTATTAAAAGCCGTGTTTCATTCATTTCTGCTCATCAAGTATTTGAATCTAATCGCTTGAGTTTAAATGTTAAACCAGTGACATTATCTGGACATGAAGATAAACAGTTTTATCAAATTGATTTTAATGCATCTCGGCCATTGCGATCAAAAGGTCGAGCACCACTTGTAATTGAATATGTTTTAATTAATGCTTTATTTCCCCATCCTGAAGAAATAACTCAAAAAGATAGACAATTGATGATGTTTTATGGAAATGCGTACTTTTATTCACCATACAAAAGTCTTAAGTCTTCTGTTAAATTTCAAACTGGAACAAGACGGATAGAAGATTATACTAATATCAATCCAGTATCATTGAGCTCTGGAGATATTGTTTATGGACCCTTTGGTTCATTAGAACCATTTGCATACTCTCAAATTAGTTTACATTATGATAATAACACTCCATTTTTAAAAGCTACAAAATTAACTAGAACTATTGAAGTATCCCATTGGGGAAATGTTGCTGTTACTGAAGTCATTGACCTTGTTCATCATGGTGCTAAATTAAAAGGTTCATTTTCTCGTTATGATTACCAACGTGAAACTAATAGTGGTATATCCAGTGTAAAATCATTCAAAATGTACCTTCCAGCTTCAGCAACTAGCGTTTATTATAGAGATGTCATTGGCAACATATCTACATCAAATCAAAGAACACTTTTAGACTCTGTTGAGTTGGATATTCGACCAAGATTCCCTTTATTTGGTGGTTGGAAAACTCATTATACAATCGGTTATAATGTACCAGCTTACGAATATCTATACAACAGTGGTGAAGATTATTTTTTAAAAATGCGTTTAATTGATCATTTATATGATAATATGATAATCGAAGATGTAACAGTACGCATTATTCTTCCTGAAGGATCAACAGACTTAGATCTAAAAACAACTCATCAAATTGTACGTTTACCAGATAACTTGCATTATACGTACTTGGATACCATAGGCAGGCCAACTATACAATTACAAATGTCAAATGTTGTTGAAAGTCACATTAGTGATTTCGAACTAAAATACAAATTCCCAAAATTCTTTATGTTCCATGAACCATTGATTGTAATTGTTGCTATTTATATTTTGTTTTTGACTGTAATTATTTGGGTTCGGTTGGACTTTTCAATAGCCAAGGATGGACAAAGTGAAACACGCCAACGTATAACTGGAATAATTAGTGCAATTATGCATCATTTTGAACGAAGAGCTTCTGTTTATAGTTCTTGGGATGAGGCTTTGAATAAATTAAAACATTCCAAAGACATTGGTGCATATAATACTACATCAAAACAAATTCAAGCTGATTATAAAAATGAATCGTCTAGCATCAATGAATTAGCTACCAAGTTAAAAACTGAATCTTCAGAACTATCGGACAAATTTAATGAAGTTCAAAAGGCAGAAAAAAATTTAAAAGAACTTTTTGGACAGACACAGTCTTTATATATTGATAAACTTATAACGGGTAAGGTTGGAAGAAATCAGTTCGTTGACTTTGATAGTGGTCTTAAACGAAAAAAAGATGAATGCCAAGAAAAAATCAATCAGTTATTAAAATCATTGAATTATTAAAGTCGTGTTTATGCATATTTCAACCCATTTTCGTCATGATAAAATATTGTCTTTTCATAAATTTCTAAAAACCTGATTTATGTTACTATAAAATAAATTATAAATCACTGTCAAAAATGCGTATTATATTTTTCGCTGCACTTTTGTTTGTAATTTTTATTGGTCTTAAAATTATATCTACTTAAATAAAAAATGAACACATTTTATTTAACTACATTAAAGTAAATTTGAATTATAAAATATATGCAGTAATAATGTAATATATATTTATATTTAAGTACAAATCTAATTTTGGAATTTACATTTTAATTACTTTTTTTTTATATCTGGATTAATATTGTTTGGAATTATTAACTAAATTCCTTTGCATCTAGGTATATATTTATATTAAATAAATATGGTTTTGTTTAAGAAATTATAATTTTTAACATTAATTAAATTAAAGAGTAATAAGTAGGTATATTTTCTGTTGACTGATTATTTGCTTATATTTTGTTAAATCATTTTAAAATCATAAATGAGATGATAAAATAAGTTATATATTAGTAAATAAAATTATATCCAACACATTAAGTATGTAAACATTTGCATAAATACTAAACTAAAACTAAGATTATTCAACTTGTAGTTCTTTTAGTTATCATTAAAATCATGAGTGTTTTTGACTTTTTTTTTTTTTTATTACATGCATTTTCCTATTTTTTATCCTTTAAATAAATATCTATCCACCTTCAAAATTGAATAAATTGGAGCTACAAAAAAAAAAAAAAAATGTTAGACCTACACATCTATTGATTTTTCTTAATTTAATACAATCTATTTAGAATAAAAAAACATTTTTGTATAAAAAAATTAATGCACACTTGTTGCATTCATAATACTATAATAACATAGCACTTATGGTCAGAAATTTGGTAAAAATATTATTTATGAATGAAGGGATAGAGGGTAATAAATTAAATTTCCTTAATACTATAGAAAAATAGTATTGGTTCACTCAAAGATACATTATAATAATTTCATTATTGATAAATGATTTAGTTTATTAATTATTTTTATCTTTTTGGAGAATAAGTATTCAAATTCATGAAAATTTAGAAATTACTTATATATATTACTTATATTACTTGTATATCAAAATTTTAATTACTATATTGGTGCCAAAAAATAGAAGTTCAATTTCTGATTGCTATTGTTATAGTGATTTATGGTAAGATTTTCTACGTTTTTAAAGTATGCTAGTTTTCATGATTTGAGAGTGAGATGTTAATAAAAACTACATAAAATTATTGATTTTATAGTATAGTTTAAAAGGTGGAAAATCAGGAATTTTTTTCAATTGAATTAGGTATACAACAATGTGTAGTTATATAAGTTAAGCCGAATATTGAGGATACTAAAGATCTTATAAGCCAAGAGATCCGATACCAATAGGAATTTTTATTTGTAAATTACATGTTATTTTAATTGTGTAATTAATGTAATATAGATACTTAAAAATAAAGTTATTTTATTAATATCATGCACCATCTTTTGATTGTCATAATGTCAATTTTAAGTAGATATTTTTTTATTTTTTTATCCTACCTACTTAAAATGTTTGTTATTTATTAGAACTTTAATACATCCGATTATAATATTAGGGTTTCCGATACAACGATAAATATTCATTATTTCTCAAGCAGAAAATTATGCTTTTTTCACCTCCGAGAATAAAACTTTCTTTGAATTATCTTTTAATAATTTGTAATTAAAATACAGTAAAGCGTTGATAGTCCGGATGAATTTCAGACAGAGCATCGTCCAGATTACTGGAGGGTTTATAATATTACCTACTCAAATGACCAAGATTTTTCATTTTCCACCTTTATATTTATTGTACACTAAATTATAAAAATAATAATTAACTTAAACATAAAGAATTACAGCGAAAAAATATTTATAATAGGTAATAGAATTTAAATATACTAATTAGTAGTCAGTCATTTTTTTTTTTTCTAAATAATAATAATCATAATTCCAAACAAACTATGTACAAATAGATTTATACCGTCTAGATTACGTTCAACATGTTATAGGGGGTCCGGACTATTGGGCTCTACTGTATATCTAAATTATACAAGTATACCAAATAAAATTTAATAAACAAAACAAGATAAATTAAATACGTGTACAAAATACGATTAATAAATTTACCGCCCAAAGCCTACAAAACTTACTGTAATACCATGTGTTCTCAAAATTTGTATATCAATTATCAAGAATAAAATTATAAACAATAAATTACTAATCAATTATTATTTATAAATATTAAATAATTATTAAAATCTAATAGCATGGATTTCGGAAGTTCCTAAACTTCCAATATTTGGTGATAGGTCGCAAACATAAATTTGTAAACTAAATTATAAATCTTTGTTATTAACATATTTTGGAACGTATTATATATTTTTATATGTAACCTCTTTCACTTCTCAAGTTATCATTGCAAATATATGTGTACACAGCTTGACTGGTTTTAAATAGGAAATAAATACTTTTACTCATTTCATATTGTGTTGATTCAATTACTAAATAAATATTTTATATTAATTGAACTTAGAATTAGCACATTTTACTTATACTTTACAGGCATCATATAACAAATAAATAAATAATTTAACTAATACATATATTTAATAGTCATTAAAGTAAATAAAATGAAAATAATACCTTAATAAGACAAAATAATTGTAAAATAAATGAATAGTAATATAAATTCATAATTTTGATTAGTGAGCATTGATCACAGGCCACAGCACAGCACAGTCAACAATGTCCACAAATCGATCAATGAATCTATAATATGACAAAATTCAGCATTTAGACATATTATATAACAGGAATGGCTAGCAAGAAGAGGCTTTGCGAGTCGTTCAATATAATAATAAACAGGGTTCGGATTTGAAGACAATATAATCAATAAAAAAGCATTTAACATGTGAAAAAAGGCATTTCATTTTTCATTTATATAAAAAAGAAATTAAAAAATCTTTATCAACTTTATTATGCTATACAAACTCAAAGTTAGACGTTTGTACTGTTTGTAGTGTTTGTACCACAAATGTTCACAAAATAGATTAAATCGAAAAGACACTGAATGTAAACAGCCGTGTCTGCCATGTTTCACCGGCTACTATTATCAATTTAGTGTTATCAGTTAAAAAATTGGTATCATAGATAATAGTTCAAACACTTGGCAAATACATTTTTAATATTATAAAATGTGTATTTTTTCTGTTATTTATTTAATATGAATACCTGCTTAATTATGTATTTGATGTTCAAGTGGTAAGTAATTTTAATAAAACTAATTAGATTTAAAAAAATTATATTTAACATTTTGTTTTTCTGTTATGGTTAAGCTGATTTGCCAACCGGAAGATGACTCAATGGCTGGCGGCTGCCATTTTCGAATGTAGTGCGTCTTTACCGTGTTAAATTTTGTCAGACGTCAGTAGTATCACACTATTACTATTCGTACTTTTTAGTTAAGATATATATTAACGGCATTAACGGTTAATGCTTGAATTTTATGAACTATTAAGGTATATATGAGTGTCACCGATTCACAAATTATATCTATCCTTGTTGGTTACATGTTTTTAATTTCAAAACTTAACATATGATTTTTTATTGTAATTTTAGTCTTATATTCTATCAATTATGGATACACAATCATCCCTAGGACTTATTAAACGGACAAAAAAACGTAGGTCGACTTACCAACAAGCCATGAAATTCTCTAAACGTGGAAAGTTTGGACACGGTTTCCAAGTCCAAGACGAAGACTTTCAATATTTCCTAAATATTCTCAAAGTAACTAACGAAACATTCGGAAACGACGAAGATAAACGTAAGTATTGTTGCAAACACCCAGTTGTTAATTAGAGTGAAAACAATTTCAACACAGTTTTGGTGAATATTCTACACTGTGTACCTATACACCCTACCATAGTCGGGATTAATGGTAAACATCCAACTATGGTTGGACTGATGTAGACACATGACCATAATTCAGTAATTTATAATTATTATTAATAGTAATTTGTAAGGTTAAACATTAAACACTTAACTTCTGTCTACCTTCTTAATAACAAGTAAATTTGAACACCTCTTGACTAAATTCCAATTTTTTTGAGTATTTTCGACATACTACATTTAATGTGTGACAATTGGCCGTGAAAAAATCATAATAGAAATGTTTTTTTTTAAATTCTCAAACTCGCTTTGAGAGTCAGAATACAACTCAAATAACTGACAAACCTTTAACATTTTATTTGTATATATGTACAATTATTAACATATATTATTATATGTTAAAGGTTGATCAGTTATTTGAGTCATACTCTGACTCTCAAAGTGAGTTTGAGAATTATAAAAAAAAACATTTCTTTTATGATTTTTCCACAGCCAATTGTCGCACATTAAATGTAACGTCGAAAATACTCAAAGAAATTAGAATTTAGTCAAGAGGTATTCAAATTTACTTGTTATTAAGAAGGTAGACGGAAGTTAAGTGTTTATCTTACTAGTTACTATTAATAATAACTGTAAATTACTGTATCATGGTCGTGCGTTATCAGTCTGACTATGGTTGGGTGTATATATAAAGCAAATATTCCAAGTGTTTATTTAATTAAAAATATTTTCTAAGTTCAAATTATAATATAATAATTAACAGTATTTTTTTTAGATGAAAGGTTTTACTACTAGTTTAATGATACTGTATCTGACAAAATCCTGTTGATCTGGCGATTAGTTCTCCTAGTAGATAATGCTTATCCCTACTACGGTTAACATAAATGACCATAATATATGGTCTACAGATATCTTTTCACGCTATTTTTAATATTACATAATAATTAATGACATGTGTTCGTTGATGCTGAAGGTCCCTTTGTGATCATCCTGCATGTTGTCATGAATTTAGTGCGAAACACTATTCCAACCTGTGTAAAAATATGAAATAATATAATTATGTTCCACGCCTGCTCACAAGTTAAAAGATATTTTATAGACTTGCAGTTCCTTTCACGTTCTTATTAATGTTTTTATTTACTTCGTGGTTGCTATATTTATATAAATGTACATGTATATATGCATGTTGGATGTATATATGATTTAGTTATCACACCTCACTACAATTTTGTTTTCTTCTTGTTTCTTATTTCTCTAATAAAATTTAAACATTATATAGTTAAAATATTATAATCAATGTCCAACAAAATATTTTCAGGTATTTTTGCAGATAATGTATTCAAACAATTGAATGGCAATGAAGTAAATTATTGTTGTAATCAAGTAGTATCTCGTGTAGTAGACGACCTACTACCTGCAGCTAGTGATGAGACAGTGTTAAATTTGATAAAACATTTTGAAGTTGATTTGCGGCCTATTTGCTCTGATCAATTTGCTAGCCATGTTCTCCAGCAACTATTACATGTTTCAATTTATAGAGCATATAAAGTATTTATATTTTTATAGTAATTGGTTTAAATAATTAGTTTAATAAATATTTTTGTTATAATTTATAAAAGGTTACCGAGGACATATCTGAAACTACTAAAGAAAATTATTTTAATTTTATTAATAAGCTGTGCAAATTTATAATTAACAATTTAGAGGAATTTGTATGGGATAAATATGCTAATCATGTAGTACGCAGTTGTATTGCTTGTTTATGTGGTAAACCATATTTGTGTTCAAAAACTCCACAGCAAAATGGCGAAGATATAGATACAAATAAAGATCATAAGAATTTATTAAAAAAATATTTTGATTATATAATAAATATTCAACAGTTCTCAGGTAAAAAATAAAAAGTTATAATAACACTTACAACTTATAACTAACCTAAAGTAGACGAGACGAAAAGTGAGCGGTTACCGTTGCGTGCCAAGTGACTGATTTTCATCAGGGCTTCTCTTACTGTTTTCCTGCCTAACATAATTTCAAATCATGTAATGTAAACTTTTTGTTTATTTAATAATGAAATGCAAATAATACAAATAATATACATAATAAAAGTCCCTGAAATCACAAAATATGACCACTTAGCGCGCAACGATCACGGTTAACTTTTCGTCTCGCCAACTATAGTTCCTTTACACTAATTTTAAATTTCGCCCCTAGTAATTATTTAAATGCCTCAGATTCCATGTTGTGCCTTCAAGCCTTAAATTGTTATCCATTTAACTCTAATTTATCTCCACTTTTTCTTCACATTAAATCACTTATTTTCACCCTATTTCAATTAAACTATAACATTTACTTTCTCTGGATTCCCAGTCATATTGGGATTTACGGCAATTAAATTGCTGACATCCTGACAAATTCTACATCTAATCATATCTTTCCTTCTTTTTTCAGCTACTCTAGTCTGATTTACCCCATTGATTAAACAATACATCTCTTAACTTATAGACCTCTCATTGGAACATTTTTTCTGCAGACTTCACCTCAAAATATAGAAATATTACACCTTATATCCTCAAAGGAAACTTGGTTCAATAACTTACACTTACATAGATCACGCATAGTTCAATTACTCCAATTCAATTGATTATGTACGAATCTTAATCTATTATCCAGCCACTCATTTAAACTAGGCCTCAATGATTCTCCATTTTGTTACACTTCATTAAAATAAATATGTCTGACTTTTTCCATATTTTATTTTATTGTCCTGCTCTGCAAGCTAAATGTCTAATTTTAATTAATCCCCTTAAATCTCTTTATATTTCTTAACCTCAAATCCATACTTAGTACAGAATCTATAACTGCTATTAAAATTATAATTTCTTTTATATTGCTGACTTTATTATGTAATAAACTGTAATTAATATTGTCTATTTTCACTTATTGTAATTGTTGAGCTATTACAATTTTAATACTAATAGCTATTTAAAAAAAAAAAAAAATTACTACCCAAACTTAATTTTTTTAAAATTATTTTCTGAATTATTACTTTTCAGAAATGCTTACGACTGATAAAACTTCAGGATTGTTACAAGTATTACTTAAATCAATTTCACCTATATCTAAAAAAAGATATAAAGCCTTAGTGGAAAAAATAATGAGTGAATGTTTTCCAAATGATGAAAGTTGCTCTTTTGATAATGTTTCTCAGGTTCTTGAAAACAGTTCATTTTCTAGGTACTTCTAAATTTATTCTTAAACTTATAATTTGATAGGTAAAATGATGCATAATTAAAAAATGTTGTTTCAGAATTCTTGATGTTATTATTACTGAATCGTCAGATGAATTGAATACTTTATTATATGATAAATATTTCCATGATAAATTTGGAAATTTAGCTGTTCATCATAATGGGAATTTCACTTTACAAAAAATTTTATCTACTACTGTAGATGTGACTAAAGTAATAACATATTTGATGAAAAATTTAAGGCTTTAAGTATTATCTACTTCCTTAAATTATACATTCACTTTCTCTCAAAAAAACTATTTCATTATTATATTATGGCTTTTTAAAAATTAAAATTTATCTTTTTAGTTTGAAACAATTTTTGATCAAATAAAGGAAAATATGTCACAAATTATTAACCTTAGTTATACTGGAGTGTTATTAGAATTGTCTAAAGCTTGTTTACGTTTGAAAAGTAAACAAGCTTTATTCTTTAAAGTAAGTATAATAGTGAATAAATCAAACTTCACTAGTTTAATTAATTTAAACATATTTAATTTTCAATAGACATTATGCGAGTCATTAAAATGTAAAGAAGAAACTGAAGATGGCATTACTGTATTAATACTTCTTGGGTTGAAAGTTGTTGACAATATTAATGATTTGAGTAAAGAACTATTGATTAATACCCATGGATCTATGATAGTACAAAATATATTGAAGTTTAATAAACCAATCAAGGTAAAATATTGTGAATTTGTATGGTTGAAAACAACTTAAAATTGATTTACTTTGCAGATGGTAAATAATTTAAATAACTTAAACACTGAACGTCTTGTTGATTTGCTTTGCAATGTAAAAGGCAGCTATATTGCAGATGCATATTTTGAAAGTGCATTTATTGGGGAAAGAAGTCGCGAAAAATTGATATGGAAATTGAAAGTAAATTAATAATTTGTTATTCATAATATTTAATACTTAAACATTTATTTGTTATCAGGACTATTATTCAACATTGGCAGAATCAAAGAGTGGTTCACGCGCTTTTGATTGCATTTGGAAAATAGCTGATTCAAAACAGCATATTATGATAATGACCGAGCTTTTAAAACACGAACCTCGACTTCGTGGCACAACATTTGGTTATATTATTGCATCCAAATTAGATTTGGGTATGTTCAGGCATAATAAAGATGAGTGGATAAAAGCTGATCAAGAAAAACTAAAGACTGTAAAAGTTTTTGAAATCAATAAAAATATTTCTTGAATTGTTTGTACAATTAGTAGTTTTATTTATTGAAAGTTTTAAAAATAGTTTTCAACTAAACATAAATATTCCAATTACTGCCATCTTCAGGCAAAAGTTGATTAGTAACTAACAAAATGACATCCAATATCCACCAAACTCCACCACCTCCAAGTGTCAATAATTTTCCAACAGCTGTTCCAGTTTGTCCTAGACAAAATCTGTCCATACCAAGGAAGCCAAGTAAAATTGAATAAAGAAGAGTAGTTAGAAAATAATAGCCACCATATCTGTAATAATAATAATTGCAGTTCAGCACATATTATATTAAGAGGATAATATACCTTTATGTGATGTCTCCATCTAACAAAAGCACAGCATATCTAAGTATACAATCAGAATGATCCATTAAATTATTTTTAATATTTGAATGAACATTATCAAAACTTATGCGTTGACTTTTCAAAATTTTATATACTTTTGCTGAAATAAAATTTTCAAGAAAAAACCAATGCTAAATCATAGATAATGTTCTTACAACTAACTTTAATTATAAGTCAATTCCACGTCAATATTAAAACAAACATTTATGATTAATGCAAATTTGGTATGCTGTACATTTAAAAATAGACACATGACATATGGACGGGTAAGTATACTTTTAACAGTAAATCAATTAAAAATAAATTTGTACTTCACGCATGGAAATCCTTTCTTGTTAAATTTTCTATTTCCGTGACATTCTATACCAGGTAAAACCATACATTGAACTGTTGTTTTTTCTACATCTTCATATCTATAACTACCGCCATACTAAAATATAAAGTTACAATACAATAAGTCTATATTCTTACAGTCCTAACAAATTATACCTTAGAACAGCCACCTGTCATGGAATCATCTCTTGTCTTGTTTCCTTTTAAGTCAACTAGATCTTCACATTCAATAAACTCCATAGGCCTAAATATTATTATTAAAAACCATAATAAATATTACTTTTTATCTAACTTGACATTTAATGAGACATAATTTATAATCATCTGTAAGTATGCACAAAGTTATTTACAAGAAAGAGCACATCACCAGCGGCCCAGATGGAACATAGTTCAGTTCTGGATCGTTTTCTAACAATGAATCATTTTTTATTCCTCCGCCGTCGTTTCTCGACATATTTGTATTCATTGCCGCATGACAACATAAAAGACATGACACCAAATATCCTAATATTGAGCAATTATACTTGTTAATCATTGTTAATGATCATGATGTATAACAATACAATTAAAAATAAAAATTAACAATTTAAAGATTTCACGTCTTTCTAACAAGTAACAATATTTTCATTATTATTATTTTTTGTAATTATAGTAATTATACTGTGAGGTAATTTGTTTTAAATATATATCCGATAATACTATCATTCTATCATATTATCTGTGGAGAAAGGTAGTTGTTGGAAAAATAATAAGCAATTAATATCTCAAACAGTAGACAGTAACACCAACGTTGAAAACCAAAAAGTGTTATACAAAATAATCATAATTATCAGCAAATTACTAAAAATTATTTAAATTTATTAATTATTTTATTACTACATTTTTTTACAAATTGTAATAAGAGTAATATTCAATACAATTAAAAAATGGAAAAAGTCAATTTAGAGTCTAGATCACAATTTTGTTTTACCAGCACCTGTTATCGTCAGCGCCCAATAGGGTATTGAAATTTGGGCGGTAAGCTTCAATGAAATTAGTGGTGATCAGTAAAACGGATTTCAACTATACCGTGACATGAAGAGTTGTATAATTCAGTATTAAACTGTGTGTTACTGACATTTTGTAATATGTACGGCTGTACACGATAACATGCACAGAACACAAACATGAGTTACTTGATACAATTATTTGGTGTAATGAAAATCCGGCTTTACAATAATTAAATTAAGATGTCGTGGGGTTTAAGATAGGCTACTTTATGTACGCGCGTACATCATTATATCAGTCCACTTTTCACACTCTCGCAATAAGAATCATTGGCAATATTTTAAATAGAATGCAATATTTATTCAACGAAGGTCAAGTTAGATTAGATGTTTACTATACTCAATTTTATCGAGAAAAATAATCAAATCATTGATCTTTTTAATCAGTACTTATAGTGCCGGATAGAGTTTATAATTTACATCTCCCCATTTCTATTTCCTAAAATAATTAAATAGTTAAAAAGTACTTATTAAAATATTATTTTCGATTATCAAATTTTTATAAAATTCGTTATCATTATAAAAAGAATAAATACTTGTTAAAGTATGTAATAGTTTTTGTTTTCTAAAACAACTTTTTTTAGATAAGTAACCATAGTTTTAAAATTAACACATTAATTATATAAGAATGCTGTTAATTATATCCATCCTTTAAAAGTACTTGGTGTACATTTTTAGACTGTAATAAAAGCAGTATTTATCTATAATAATTACTCATTTTTTTTATTAAAGTATGAAGTATGATAAGAATTTTCAATGTATGCATTTGCTGTGTAACAGTAATATTAGTTACTAGTGCAAGTTCCCATTTTTTATGGATGGTATAACTAAAATTATTTTGTTTCATTGGAAAAACAATTTTTTTATGGCCATTATGATAGAGCATTAACAGTGACTAAAAAAAATTAATTTTACAAATTATGATAGATATTATATTGCAAGGCATAAACAATCACTTATTATTTAATAAATTAATAATGAGCTAATTCAAGGGATTATAACATGATTTAGTGGTCTATGATTGATTAATTAAAATAATCAATGTTTTATGTAACTCAGTTTAAGTATAATTATTAATAAATCAATAGAGACTTTGCTTGTGAGTTGAAGTTAAAACAAGTATTGTAAACTAAAACACTAAAAAAATACAAGTATTCTTAAATTTGTTTATTTTTCAACACCTTCACACTAAATGAAGTGGTACAATAGTTAATAATACAAAACAACTTTTCTCAAGCTTTTGAAATTAAAGTTTCTATTAATATATCCACAAATGACAAATGTGGATGATTTTTAGTTCATAACCCTTGTAATTAAAGCTTTAAGATTAAACAAAAATTATCATAAATTATAAAATCTAGAATTTTAATTTAATATTCTTTTGATTTCTATATTTTATTAAAAATCAATTAGAAAAATGACATAAGATTTAGGTAAAAGTTTTAAATTAAAAACAAATTATAAAACAACAGTCTTAAATAAATATAATTAAATTTCAAAAATAGAATAAGTATAATGAATTTAATTACTAATAAAATAAAATATAAGGCAATAATCGGTATATTTTAATACAAAATCAAATAAAATAAATTTATGATTTTTTAATAATATTTGTAGATGTAATTTATACAAAACAAATATTATCAAATAACATGATAAAATGGTTGTCAATAATATAAACAGGATACTTTAAATGTAAACATGGCGTTTGAAAGTTAATATTTGTATCGATAATATGAAATTTCAGCACACAACTATAACGCATAGAATATATAAATAACAAACGCCATAAATTAAAAAAAAAAAAACACTGAAATTTAAATTGGGGATAATTATGTGTACAATAGAAGGGAATGAAAAAGATATGATATTATAATCATTAGATCCATTATTTAGAGTGGTTTTTCAGAAGCCATGAAGTTTAATGCATTTGGATGCACCTTCAAGTAGATGAATAGCGTGATGAGAGCAAATATGACGGTCAAAGTGGGCAACACAACTGAAACAACATTTTTTTTGTTTTCCAAGAATTCCTTCTTTCTCTCCTTCTTCTGTTTGTTGGTCTCCTTTGGTTTGTTAGTACGCGAGTTCCTCATTTTTAATCACACTGCGACAAAATAATAAACAAATAATTATTGAACACAATCAATGCATTACTGTCAAAACTTTAATTGGTGCACATTTTATTTGATTTTTAAGTTAAACACCATATTGTACAAATATGTTATGTAAACATCACACAACCAATACTACAGATGTATTTTGAGTAATACTTTTTAAATATTGTGGGTAAATAACTTACATCAAGACGTCCAACTGTACAGGAAAAACGATATTGCTATTAGGGCGTCGGAAGATGACGGAATTCGTTCAGCAGTCAACTACGGCAAACAGTCGGTTGCTTACTGTTGTACGTTACTATACAGTCAATTTGCCACGAGAACAAAATAACAGCCAGCCAAACACCACCAATACAATAACAACACTACACAGACACGGCACACGTCTCCGGTCTCACGTAGTCACGTCTTGGATAGTTGTATTTGTTTACGTCAACCTGGTCGACATTCGATGATAACGAATACAAATCATCACCGGACACCGAGGCAGTCTGTATCGTCAGTATCAACGGTAAATACGTGACTCGTTACTTTGAGTGTAGCTGGCATGTACCGATAATAATTATACGTACACGTAGTACGCGGTAGTACAGTGTTGTGCGTGGGAGCTTGTACCTGATATTCGGCCACACTGTTAGTTATCTAAAAACGATATCGTGTTCGCATTTTCATATTATTATGTTCTGATAGAGGTAAATAGTAAGTACCGACTACCGAGTACTTTATGTATTATGTATATATTGTATATCAAGTAGTTGTAGCCCGGTTGCAAGTACCAACTATTCTACATCGTTAATTATTATTGATGAATAATAAATAACAATTATTAATTAATATTTAAATATACATTTTAATGATTGGTCGTCGTCCGTCTTAACTCTTAAGTTTTCACATACTGCGTTCAGACCATGGCCGGAATTTGAACTTTTACGTTTCGTGTTAATCATAGTAAATCATTTTCAGCCCAGAGAAGACGTCACGTGCGCCAAGACCGGTCTCTCCAGCCTCACTCGACGCTCGACATGCACAATCCTCTACTGGTAAGTTACCCAGACACAAAGCTATTATATAACGAACTCTAAGTCAAAACCCGATATTGTACGACTTTATCCGCCCGTAGTCATGTGGTTATACTTAGTACGGAATTATATATATTGGTATTTGAGGAAAGTGATCAAATGGTTCTTACGTCAGACCACTAAGCTCTGCGAACTGCAACGCATATGTTATACACAGCCGGCAGGTGCTCTCAGAACTTTGAATGTAGAACGATCTTTGCGCGATTCCAACAGACCGCAAATTCGTGGTCTGCTTACTGTATTAGACGCTCGTGCATCAGACCGAAGTTTCTACTTGGGACGATCTATTCAGATACCAAACGCTGTGTCAACAATCACACGTGTAAAGCGTATTGACCAGTGTGAGTATGAACGATTTAACAATGCTCTTGGACAATGTGTAAACAATATATGGTCATATATGCAATTAGTAGAAGAGATTAAGACAAGTGCAGCCATTCCATATGATTGTACCAACGATGTGCATGAAAAATCGTTATTACTTTTATGGGATGAATTAATGCCAAATGATCGTCTAGAAAACAGAGTAACCAAACAGTGGCAGGACATTGGATTTCAAGGAGATGATCCAAAAACTGATTTTCGAGGAATGGGAACATTAGGACTGGATAATTTGGTATATTTTGCATCAAAATATACCCATTTGGCCAGATGTGCTTTATCACATTCAATGCATCCAATCCATGGGTATGCTTTTGCAATTGTTGGAATAAATTTAACGAGTATGGCATTAGGACTAGTTGTTGATGGCTCAGCCAAAACTCATTTTTATAATAAGCGTAATGCACCTGAATATGAAGATTTCAACGAGTTCTATTGTTACTTATTTTGGAAGTTTGACAAATTTTGGTTGGAGGCAAAACCAAAGGATCTCATGGAGTTTGCAATTCATCGAAAACAATTTGAAACGAATATTAGACGAAAGCTGGAAAAAAGTGATACTGTTTTTCTTATTGATGTTCCTAATGATAATACAACTGATGTATTAAATAGGTGAAATTATATTTTGTAAGTCTATTAAGTATACAATTAACTAGACTGCTACTTTAATTATATATTATACCTATCATTTGGCCATTTTTCTAACAATTTTAATGATTTTTAAAAACAAAAAATGTATTATTATTGCTGTTTTGACATCACTCATAACAATTAATGTATTAAAATTATAATGTGAATAGTTTGTATTTTGTTGAATTTAAAAGTCAAAATATATATTTCTTTTACACATTTTGATGTATTAACAGATGTTTTTTTCATTGATTAAAGTATTATTAAAATGTTAGATAAATTAAATTAAATTTTACTATAGTAGTTGGAAAAAGTTTAAAATAAAATAGATGATTAATTAATTATTCATATAATGCATTTTTCCAAAAATATTTAAAAATAAAATTGTATCATAAGAATGTACATAAGTAAATTAAAGTATTTAAGTATATTAATTATTGTTGTTAAGATATTTCTTGGATTTTGATTGCAAGTTTAGTACCTGAAAGGAAATGGAAGTTCTGTTTATGACTTAACAAGTTTCTATGAATACTGTTTTTTTGGTCGTTATTAAGGCTTGGAAGTTATAGAATTAAATATAATGTACTATACAAAAAAACATAATTATGAAAACTGGTTGGACAAGAATAATAATACATTGTTGTAACTTGTGCTTACTGATATCAAACCATAATAAAAAGTTATGTTATAATTGATAAATTGGTATTTTGTTATTTTACATAAATCTTTAAAAAATGAAAATATACCAACATTGAACAATTAAGTATAATGTACATAAATAATAAAATATTAAATATTAATACCTACATAAAAATATGCAAAAAAATTGTACTTCAAATTCTTGATTTTAAACTTGTCATTCTATGAAATGGATTCATAGATTGGTCTGCTAAAAATTTAGATTATAATATAGAAAAATATGCAATGCTCCTACAACTTCTGAGTTTTAGTCATTATTGATTTATGCATATGTACATATATTTTTCAGATACTATTCTGTTCTTTAACTATCTGAATATGGTAAATAGATACCTGAATTGGTCGTTTTTATTAATGAGGTGATAAACATATTGTGTATGTGAGTAAATTCCAACATAATTTTTTTACTATGTTTCCAAAACAAAAAATATGTATTAAATACTTGCTAAGATTTTGGGTTCTTAACATTTTCATTTTGCAAATATTTGTAATAACTTATTAAAAAGAGTAATATCAGTCAAGTATAAAATGACATTGGAATTTACATATGTTGTCATAATGGGAATGCTTGCCACCACAGGTAATCCAAGTTTTAAAAATGTAATCTTATAAATAGGATAGTACATTTATTATTATTAAACATAATAATTAAGTTTAAACACTACATTAAAAATCACTTAAATATTAAAAAAAAAAAATTATAATATTTCAATTTAAAATAATTTAAGTATGCATTTTGTATCTTATATCATAGTTATTAATTCTTATTCATAAAATCACAAATATAAAAGTGCTTAACCTTATAAGTTATAATAATTATATTATTAAAAATAAGTGTTAAGCCGGTATGTTATTATTAATAATTTACAATTTATTAATAAGGTACAGTGATGTAATAGGAAATTTGGATAAAAATCCACATAAAATTAATTTTTTCACTAAGTATAACATGAATAATCAAATAATACCTATTTATAAAAATCTATAAACTTCTAGTTTCTATTTATTCAAAAATAAAATCTAATTTGCTTAAATATAGTAAATTCTCAAAAGGAATTTATCAATTAAATTTTATGGTTATCATAAAAGCCCATGTGTACACTATGTAGGCCAATTATGCAAGTGATTTAGATTGTTAGCAATAAAACTAACAACAAAAAAGAATAACAAGTTATCAGTGATCACTACTCACTAGGTTTCAATCATAAGTCAGATAATAGTTATTAACATTTATGACCTTTTAGACATTGGTATTTGAGTTATTTCCTACTTGTATCATCCGTTTCTAACCAATGTTTAAGGTTAATTTTTGGAATTAAGAGAGAATCACAAGGTAGCAAATCATCTTCAGCAGATACGGGTTTAAAAAATACTCGTTGCTGCATCTTCGTGACATTATCACTGTTATCACAAAATACTCTCGCGAGAGTCACTTTTCTGATCTCTGCCAGTTGATGTATAATTAAAAATTTTTTATTTAAATTCAAGTACATTCATCAAAAAATAATCCAGTAATACTAACGTTTTTTGAATACTCTTGGCAAATCATAAAAATATCTATCTGCAATTCTAGTTCTTATAAATTGTTCTCTAATGATACATCTCATCGTCGGGCCTACCATAGCGTCTTCTTCGTGTTTCTCAAACAATGCACCAATCAATAAATCTATGTCGTCCCAAGTTTTGTATTGCCTCAATAATCTATTAGTTGACTAAACATAATATACAGAAAGAAAGTAGGTACATGCATCAATAAAGTATACTAGTATTTTGTGTCATTTCGCATTTTTTTTAAACTTACTCCTTTTGCCATAATCTGAGTTAAATCTTGTACATTTTTTATGTCTTTAAGTCCACAATATTTTCTAAATTGTGTGTAGCTTGGAATACCGTGATCGCGGCTTCGTTGTATATCCAAACTGACGATGTCCATCCCAAAAATATTATCCGGATAACTGTATAAGTAATTTGTTATCTAAAAAATGTAGGTAAACATATAATGTAATACACATCTATATTGACGTCATCATTAGTTGTGCAAAAAAAAAAAAATAAAATTGTTTTGTTATGATTATCCCGATTGTCTTGAAAAACATACCGTTTGCGTGAATAGCATATCAACTTTTTGTGTATTTTGCATAGATAGTCCTCTGACGAGGTGATCCATATAGTTCATCTGTAAATCGGACGGTCGGTTAAAATGTTCCTTTAACGAAAAACTTTTGTTTGTCGCTCGGTTTTCAAGGTATAAACTGTGAAAAAAAGAATGCACGAAAATTATAAGTCGCATCCCGCCTGCAATCGTATATAAATATTACATTGGATTTTGGACGATATTCTCTTAAAGCACAACACTTAATATTCCAAATTTATATTTTGTATATACCTAATCTAATATGAAATAAGAACATACTCACGTTTAGCATTGTAATACATAAATATATTTTATTTTTTTTATTAATGATCTATTTGTTTTACTTTTAATATATGCAAATTTTTTTTTCTTATTTAAGTAATAGGTTTTTTATTTATAAGAAATTTAAAGTTAAAATTAGATGATTGAAATATTAGAATGTACTAATACTCCCCGAAATGCGTTGTGAATTACTTGTCTAAAAATTAAACGCTTAAAAAATAACATGAACTGTTCATTCAAATAAAATAAAAAATTTTGCTCTAAATCACGAAATTAAAAATGTATAAGCCACCGTTTAAAAATTAAAAGCCTGTTACGCGTTCGCTTATAATATATAATACTAATTGTTGCAACTTGCGAATTGTACATTTAGTTACGATTAAATGTTTCAAACAAAAAATTTCCGAATAATGACGAGTGCTCCTAGCCATCATCAAAACCATAATCTCGAAATAGGTGCTTAACAATAGTATAACATCCGGTGTACACAACACGAACCTGAGAGTCTCGTTGAACATGGAGTTGACGAACGGCAGTATCGCAGTCGCGAAGCTGTTGCTGACGGTCGGGTCGGCGTTCTCGTCGTACGCGTCGCTGTATCCCTTCGGCAACAGTTCCAATCCGTTCCGTTTGGCGTACTTTTTGCCAAGCAACGCCGGCAGCCATTCGCCGTACGTGATGTGCTGTATGGACGCCGTCACGATTTTCCTGGCCTCCTGGAACGTGCGCTCGTCGTCCCAGTGCGGGTTGATGACGGCCAGCAGCCCGGCCACCCGGTTGTGTTCCCTCATCCACAGCGTGTGCATGGCCGTCAGATGAGGCTGAGCGTTCGCCC